TCTCTGATTTCTCTTTCAGCCCTTTTATCATCTGTATATAGTAGGGCTACTGACTTTCTTGAGTTGATCTTGTAACCTGCCACTTTGCTGAAGGTGTTAATCAGCTGTAAGAGTTCCCTGGTAGAGTTCTTTGGGTCATTGATGTAAACTATCATATCGTCTGCAAACAGTGAAAGTTTGACTTCTTCCTTCCCAATTTGTATCCCCTTGATCCCCCTTTGTTGTCGTATGGCTATAGCTAGAACTTCAAGTACCATGTTGAAAAGGTATGGAGAGAGTGGACAGCCTTGTTTTGTTCCTGATTTTAGAGGAATTGCGTTGAGTTTCTGTCCATTTAGTTTGATGTTGGCTGTTGGTTTACTGTATATGGCTTTTATTATGTTTAAGTATGTCCCTGTTATCCCAGATCTCTCCAAGACCTTTATCATGAAGGGGTGTTGGATTTTGTCAAAGGCTTTTTCAGCATCTAGTGAGATGATCATGTGATTTTTGTTTTTCAGCTTGTTTATATGGTGGATTACGTTGATGGATTTTCGTATGTTGAACCATCCCTGCATCCCTGGGATGAAACCTACTTGATCGTGGTGAATGATTGTTTTGATGTGTTCTTGGATCCGATTTGCCAGTATTTTATTGAGTATTTTTGCATCAATGTTCATGAGGGATATTGGTCTGAAGTTCTCTTTCTTGGTTGTATCTTTGTGTGGTTTGGGGATCAAGGTTATTGAAGCCTCATAGAAAGAGTTTGGCAAAGACCCTTCTGCTTCTATTGTGTGGAACACTTTGAGAAGAATTGGTATAAGCTGTTCTTTGAATTTGTGGTAGAATTCTGCACTGAGGCCATCTGGACCTGGACTTTTTTTGGTTGGGAGACTTTTGATGACAGCTTCTATTTCCATAGGGGTTATAGGTCTATTTAAATTGCTTATCTGTTCTTGATTTAGTTTTGGCAAATGATAGCTGTCCAGGAAGTCATCCATTTCCTTTAAATTTTCGAATTTTGTGGAGTACAGGTTTTCAAAGTATGACCTAATGATTCTCTGGATTTCCTCAGAGTCTGTTGTTATGTCCCCCTTTTCATTTCTGATTTTGTTAATTTGCGTGTTCACTCTCTGCTGTTTGGTAAGTTTGGACAAAGGTTTGTCTATCTTGTTGATTTTCTCAAAGAACCAACTCTTCGTTGCATTGATTCTTTGTATTGTTTTCCTGGTTTCTACTTTGTTGATTTCAGCCCTCAATTTGATTATTTCCTGGCGTCTACTCCTCCTGGGGAGTTTGCTTCTTTGTGTTCTAGAGCTTTTAGCTGTGATGTTAATTCTCTGGTATAACTGTTTTCCTGTTTCTTCATGTGAGCACTTAGTGCTATGAACTTCCCCGTAGCACTGCTTTCAAAGTGTCCCATAGGTTTGGGTATGTTGTGTCTTCATTCTCATTGAATTCGAGGAAGTCTTTAATTTCTTTTTTTATTTCCTCTTTGACCCAGGGATGGTACAGTTGAGCATTATTCAATTTCCATGAGTTTGTAGGTTTTCTGCAATTTGTGTTGTTGTTGAATTCTAATTTTAAGGCATGGTGGTCTGATAAGATGCATGGAGTTATTCCAATTTTTTGTAGCTGCTGAGGTTTGATATGTTGCCAAGTATGTGGTCGATTTTTGAGAAGGTTCCATGTGGTGGTGAGAAGAAGGTATATTCTTTTTTATGTGGATGAAATGTTCTATAGATATCTGTTAATCCCAGTTGGGTCATTACTTCTATTAGACCCTTTGCTTCTTTGTTGAGTTTCTGTCTGGTATTCTTGTCTAGTGGTGAGAGTGGTGTGTTGAAATCTCCCACTATAACTGTGTGGGGCTTTAGATGAGATTTAAGTTCTAATAATGTTTCTTTAACGAATGTGGATGCCTTTGTATTGGGGGCATAGATGTTCAGGATAGACACTTCATCTTGGTGGGTTTCACCTGTGATGAGTATGTAATGACCTCCTTCATCTCTTTTGATTGATTTTATTTTAAAGTCTAGTTTGTTAGATATTAGGATTGCTACCCCTGCTTGTTTCTTGGGTCCATTTGATTGAAAAAATTTTTCCCAACCTTTAACTCTCAAGTAATGTCTGTCTTTGAGGGTGAGGTGTGTTTCTTGTATGCAGCAGAAGGAAGGGTTCTGTCTTCGAATCCATTCTGCTAGTCTGTGTCTTTTTATGGGTGAGTTAAGGCCGTTAATATTGAGGGATATTAATGACCATTGATTGCTCATCCTTCTTCGATTTGCGATGGTTGTTGTTGGTGGAATTATGGGTGGAATTTCACCCCTTTGTTCTTTTGGCTGTTGGTAGAGAGGAATTCTCTAATGCTTATGTTTTTCTGGTTGTAGTTAGCTTCCTTGGGTTGGAGTTTTCCTTCCAAAATTTTCTGTAGGGCTGGGTTAGTGGACACATATTGGTTGAATCTAGTTTTGTCATGGAATATCTTGTTTTCTCCGTCTATAGTGATTGAGAGCTTTGCTGGGTATAGTAGTCTGGGCTGGCATCCATGGTCTCTTAGTGTAGGTAGAATATCTATCCAGGACCTTCTGGCTTTCAGAGTTTCCATGGAGAAATCAGGTGTAATTCTGATAGGTCTGCCTTTATATGTTACTTGACCTTTTTCCTTAGCTGCTCTTAATATTCTTTCTTTATTCTGTATGTTTGGGGTCTTGATTATTATGTGGCGAGGGATTTTTTTTGTGGTCCACTCTATTTGGTGTTCTGTAGGCTTCTTGTACCTTCATTGGCATGTCTTTCTTAAGGTTGGAAAAGTTTTCTTCTATGATTTTGTTGAATATGCCTTCTGCCCCTTTGAGGTGGATTTCTTCTCCTTCTTCTATACCTATTATTCTTAGGTTTGGTCTTTTCATGGTGTCCCATAATTCCTGGATGTTTTGTGTTAAGGATTTGTTGGATTTAAGGTTTTCTTTGGTTGATAAATCCATTTCTCCTAATGTATCTTCAACACTTGAGATTCTCTCTTCCATCTCTTCTATTCTGTTGGTAATGCTTGTATTGGTAGTGCCTGACTGTTTGTCCAGCTTTTCTATTTTCTGCCTTTCTTCAGATTGTGTTTTTTTTAGTGTCTCTATTTCAGTTTTCAACCCTTGCAGCGTTTGCATTGCTTCTTGCAATTTTCTGTTTATCTGTTTGTCCGTTTGTTGCCTTTTATGAATTTTTTGGTTTGTTCTTTCTTCCATTTCTTGCATTTTTTGGTTTGCTTTTTGTTCCATTTCTTGGATTTTGTGCTTTGTTTCTTCTTCCATTTCCTGCCTTTTTTGGTTTGTTTCTTCCTCCATTTTTTTCATTTTTTGCTTTGTTTTTTCTACCATTTCTTGCATTTTTTGCTTTGTTTCTTCTTCCATTTCCTGCCTTATTTGGTGTGTTTCTTCTTCTAATTCTTGCATTTTTTGCTTTGCTTTTTCTTCCATTTCTTGCATTTTTTGCTTCATTTCTTCTTCCATTTCGTGCCTTTTTTGGTTTGTTTTTTCTTCCAATTCTTGCATTTTTTGGTTTGTTTTTTCTTCCATTTCTTGCATTTTTTGGTTTGTTTTTTCTTCCATTTCTTGCATTTTTTGGTTTGTTTTTTCTTCCATTTCTTTGAGGGATTTTCCAATATCCTCTTTTAGGGCCTCTATCATTTTCATGAAAGTGCTTTTAAGGTCGTTCTCTTCTGCTTCCTTCGCGTTGGAGTATTGGGGTCTTGCTGGTGTGGAGTCTCTAGAATCTGGCGGTGTCATATTTGTTTTTCTGTTGCTGACTGTGTTTTTGTATTGTCTCTTTCCCATCTCTTCTTCTAGTGGGTGCAGAAAGAGCCCCTTCCTGGTCTGGGGACCAGAGTTCCCTTTTGGTGGGTGCTAGTAAGTCCAGTAATCTGGTGGTTCTTCTATGCCTTGTCCAAATGCTGGTCAGTGGGTAGAGAAGAAGAACAGGAATCTGGGGCGCTTAGCCTCCTACCTGGTCCCCTGGACCCTATGCTGGGTCCTGTTGTACCTGATCCGGAACTGCTACTCCCCTGGTCTCCCTGACTCCTGTAGTTTCCTGGTCTCTTTGGTGGGAGAGAAGATCTGGAGTCTGGGGTGCTTGGCTCCCGCCGGGATTGGGAGCTCTGTGCAGTTCCCAGGCGATCTGCAGGCTCTGGAACACAGGCCGGGAAGCTGGCCTGTTTACCTGATGCTCCCGCCGGGATTGGGAGCTCTGTGCAGTTCCCAGGCGATCTGCAGGCTCTGGAACACAGGCCGGGAAGCTGGCCTGTTTACCTGATGATGCCAGAGGGACAGCTACTTCCCTGTACTCCCCTCCCCTCAACTTTTAACACACGTATGTGCACCCATCCCCAAAGCATAGCCTTTGAAAATCACTTCCTTTCTGAAGTGCTTGTTGTCTGCATGCTGACATTTAAGTACATAGTGGTTTGTATTTGATGCTGTATGAATGAATTTCATCATCTCACCTTGTGAGAAAGGAATTTTCTCTTCACTTTCCTACCAGTCACTGCGATTAGAGCAAGTAACTAATACACATGCTTGGTAATAGCCTGTGCTTGACACCTAGTACCAATTCTCCACCTCTCTGACTCTGCCTCCTTTATTTCTCCTCTATAGGAGGATATATTTCATGAAAATGTTCATGAAAATGAAAATATTTCATTTTTACTGTATTTACGTCTACAAATTTAAACTCCACTCAGAGTATATGCACTCTATTAACACATTTTTAACCAATAAATTTAAGTTTCTATTAGAGAAAGTTTTAAGAATTAAGTACTCAATCGCATAAATGTGGAATTTGTAATGTGTAAAGAGAAGCCTTCCTGCCAGCCTGGTTCCAGATAACACACAGTCCCAAATAACACACAGTCCCAAATAACACACAGGAGGCTGTGTTAATTATGAAGCTGTTGGCCTTGCTTATTTCTTACTGGCTATCTCTGACTTAAGTATTTACCCCATAATTGTTAATCTAAGTATTTCTCTTACCGGAGTAAAGTTCCGGACTTCTTATCCCTATGGCAGTTGCATCTTGACTTCCTGTGTTTCTCCTACCCAGAGTCCTCCAGGACTCCTAGTCCCACCTATCTTGCTTCCCTATTGGCCAACAGTGCTTTATTGACATATACACAGGACTTCCCCAACAGTAATGTGTGTACATAAATGTGAAAATGATACAAGAAGTGACACGACGATGCCTGAAGTTTAGAATATTGTTGCTGCATGGGATGGGTGTTTTATCAGTGCTAGAGTTTGGGACAGGAGTGTCCTGAAAAGGCTAGCGTGTTAAATGTGCCGTCCTCAGTTCAGTACCAGTAAATGTTAGAAGCTGTAGGAGGTGAGACTTAACTATGTGCTCCAGATGGCTCCTAGCATGACTTTGAAGGGGATTGTGGGATAGCAGTTTGATGTGCTGGACCTCCTCACCATGATGTATTGCCTTATCACAGGGGCCTGACCACCCGGGATAACAGATCTTCCACAGGCTGAAACCTGTCAACCTATGAGCCAAAATAAGAATTCCTCTATTAAGTGACCTTAGCTATTAGATCACAGTCATGGAAGCTGACCAACAACATCATCCTGATGCATGTAATTCACCAAGCTCACCATAGTTTTAACAAGAAAATTAGACACCTGAAAGAACATCTCTGTGGACACTGAGGCTTTCTGACTCTAGTAAGAGGAGAAGATGAGAATAATGTTCCCATTGTTCAAGTTCAGCTCAATGGTATTGATGGTAGATAATTACTTAAACTCCAAGAAATGGGATTGGGAAGGTTGCTCAGTGGTTACAAATGGGGACTGCTCTTGAGGACTTGAGTTTGTTTCCTTTGGTGACTTCCAATTGGCTGCAACTCTAGCTCCGGGATGATCTGACACCTTTGATCACTATGAGTATCCGTGGTCATGTGAACACACACACACACACACACACACACACACACACATACACACTAAATCTTGAAACTCTAAGGACTCACTGCCTAAATAAACTCTCTGTGATAATGTTCTCTGTCCAGCACTTTGAGGTAATCATTACACTAGTCACTATTGAACACTTGAAGTTTGAACTTATGAAACTGAGAGAATGGATTTTAAATATGAGGTAAATTATGTTCAGAAATTACAATGTAAAAAAACTACACATGGCTAATGATGACTTACTGAACAGCAGCACTCGTCATACTTTGAGGAAACACGTGATATAATACATGTGAAATACTTTGAACAGTACTTGGTCCAGAAAAATATTTATTAGTAATTAGCTGCATAATATCTCCAACATATTTTTTCATGGATAACTTAATCCTATATACCTAAAACTCAGTTGTTGCTCCTGTTTTGTAAATCAGTGGTAGTATTTGAGATCTTCAGAGTACTATTGTTCCTGGTTCAGGCTTAGCAGAAGACCCACCTGTGAGATGCATAGTAAGAGCTCAACAGAGAGGACCATTAGAGGGCTGTAGTTGGGGATAGATACCTAACTTCCTGCAATATACTCCAGATTGATCCCAAGACCTCCTGTATGCTAGGCAAGTATTCTACCATTGAGATATATATATATATATATATATATATATATATATATATATATAAGAACAATATGAATTTAATGTCCACATTCTTGGAATTATGAAAATTTAAATGTCTATGCTAGTTAAAAATTAAGGATGACTAAAAAACGCAAATAAATTTTCAAATGTTACTTTATGTATAAAGTTTCATTTCTAATTTTGATTTCAAAGGAAGTGTGAGAGTTTGTCAGGCGTATTCTATTGTATATTAAACTCTCTGGTACTCTGTGTTAGATCACCTGGTCCCTCTTAAGAGAAAGGAGAAGTGCCTTTTATTGAATGCCTATGATGTGCCTAGCAGTCTTGTAGTCATTATTGTCTATTCTATGACAATCTTGCAAGGGGTGTGTTGTTATTCTCACTTTACAGTTCAGAAAGCCAAGACTTGAGAAGATTAAATCAGGAGTTGAGGTTCAGGAAGCTAAAACCAGAATCTGGCCATACCTGCCTCTGAGGTGAGAGTCAAGGTCCTATTGCAGTCACTGCTCAGTCATTATATGATTCTCTTAGATTATTAGTTTGGCTTCACTTGAACTCCTACGTCTTCAGAGCTCTTTTCTGAAGATGTTATCAAGAAGAGTCTTTGTTTCAATGTATTCGAAAGTCTTGCAGTGATGGCTAGAAATTACTGAACTGCTGCTTTTGCAGTTGACATTGGTCAGTAATTAATCTAAACCAGCATTAGAGTGCTTCACTTGTGGTTTCTTCATGACCCCACACAATGCCATTTTAAATGCAGTCTCAGCGACAAGTGTCTTGGGGCCCAAAGGCAAACAACTTACCTAAGAGCCCAACTGCATCCAGGAATTTAACTTGGGCAGTGTGGCCTCAGCATCCAGGTTCCAAGCAGCCACATAAGGACAGTGCTGGCTGGCAGTACTCACATGTATTCACTGGGCATAAGGATCTCTCTAGAAGTTTGACTTGTCTCTCCTCTCCAATACTCCCTTTACTCTATGCGTCTTCTCTGCTCCTGGCCTTTCTCCTTGGTTATTTCTGTAACTGAGATCCTTAGGCAACAACAGGAAGCAAATGGGTTTTCTTACCAGAAAAAAAGAAAATCTTTATCGACAAAAATAGAGCACATTTGAAGTACCTGGAATAGATGTCAACTTTGTAAGTAAATAAACTCAAGTCCCAGCTTCTTGACTTTCTCTGCCTGGCATTGCAGTTGTGAGAGTGAGAGCAGCTATGCTGGGTAGGGGGATGCCGATGCCCCATCTGCTGTTAAGAGTTTGATAAAAGTAAACCTATGTAACCTGCTGCTTCTAGAGAAACTACAGCACTCAGCACGGCAATATTTAAGGACATTAGTGAGAAAAATGCAAGGGAAACATTAGTCATTTGTGGTGGAAAAAAACCACAGATATTTCAGTGTCAGAAGTGGGCCAATTGTGAGAATTATTCCCAGATTTTTTTAATAGCATTTCCCAGAGCAGTTAGGATAATCCATACTCCATCACATCATGTGACACCCTCAAGATTTAGCACTTAAATATGACACATGCTAAATTAAGAATACCTGCTTGTTAAAGAGAGAAGGTAAGAATATAATTGGTGGCCTTTCTTCTGTCAGGGTTATGGGAAATTTTAATTCAGGAAAGGATCATGGGAGAGGTAGTTTGTCCAGTGGGGAGCTTTCAACCTTTCAGCCAGTTTTCCATTAACAAAACTAACACATTTTGACAATGACAGTTATCAGGTCCAAGGGAAAGGTACTCTGATACACCAGCAGTTTATACAGGACACCAAAGTAAGCCCCCACTAGTAACGTTGATCAATAGTTTCTATTCTGTCAATGCTGCCAACCTATGAATGACAGGGCATGAAACTGAGTCAGACTCTTGAATGCTATAAGCTAGAATACATCCTTTTAAGTTTATGTAAGGATTTACATTACTTCAGGACTACTGGAGGCACGTGCCCTCATTCTGTTTCTTTAAGGTTTTTGTTGCTTTGTTTGTTGGCTGGCTGGTTTTAATTTTCTGAGACAGGGGCTCACTGTTCTGCCAAGCTAGTGCAGAACTTGAGACTTAGAAGAGAACAGGCTGGCCTCAAACTCAGAGATTTGCCAGCTTTGGCTTGCTGAGTGCTGGATTTCAAGGCATGCACTACTATGCCTGGCCTGCTTCTGTAAGCTTTAATTGGGGAGAGAAAATAATATATAAAAGCAATATGAATAATTTTTATCTGAGTCAACATCATAAGAAATGTGTGGATTGGATGTGAATATAGAACTGTCAATATCTGTTTCTAATCTAGAAAATGTTAACTTCACATGGTTAAAAAACCTAATATGATAAGGTGTTAATAAACCACGAAGTAAAAATTGTTATATTTGGACATCAAACGGGAGCTGAATTTTTTTTCAAGTTTGCAGAAGCGTTGGTTTTAAGAGTTTTACTCCCTGGTTGTTTTTGAAACTGGAAAATAAATTGAATGTAAAGTGTCCTCTGACATTCATAAGTATTAAATAAGATTTGTTTGGCACAAGTGACACCTTTAAAATTTCAAAGATCCAAACTAATACCTCATGAAAGGGTAATGCAAAGGGGTCTCATGATTGTTGGAGCATTTTCTTTGTTGAAAACAATGCATCGTGAAGGGGGAGCCTGGGTAATGTCTCCTCTCTAGAAGTGCAAGAGGCACAGAGAGCATCCCCCACCAACATAAGACCAGGGGAATTAAAGCAAAGGAGGCCCCACTCGTTGCAAAAGTTGAAGACATTCTCTGTTGATTACATGTATGGTATGCATTTTACCACAGACCTTCCCGAAAGGTCTGCCCATGAATGAAAATAATGCAACTCACTAAAATGATCACCACAAAGCAGAGGTACCCAGCTCCCAGGTTGCCTAGCTCCCAAGAGGAACAACAGGCAGGCAAGCTAGGAAAGTACTTCTCTGGTTTTAAGTTTGAGCTATTTCACCACATAATGGCCAGAAGTAAACCCTTCACCTTGACTTGTTGTTAATCATTGAATTATATGTATGTTGTGTTCCCTCCTCTTCCTCTCCCAATGCCCCTATTTTTATTGGTTCTGATAGTCATCACTAAGCAAAGGTACACATTAAGAAATTTTCAGGGATTGTGAATAATCTTTCTGTAACCCATAAGTCCCAGGTTAACCATCAAAGCAAAGGTTCATGGGAAGATTCTATCATGGAGATGGTCTGCCTGTAGGGACTTACTCTTAAGCCAGCCCACTCCATATCTCAGAGTTTGATGATTCCTTCTCTAAAGAAATAGAAAGCAGGACAGATGCATTGTCTTTTATGCCCAGGACATGTATGAGACAGAGATCTAGTCTCTGGCTACATTCCATACCAAAACAAAGTTCCAACAACTCCATGTCAGGCAAGGAAGGGATTACATAACCTTCCTCCACCACAGTGAGGTTAACTTTCACAACATGCCCATTAGTTAGAAGAATTAAGTGTTTCTTGG